TCAGCCCCCTGGGGGGTCAGCCACACCATTTGTACAATTTTAAATCCCTGCCTCCCAGGAATGCTTTTGATCAAATATGATTGATATCCAGTGCACAGTTCTACAGAAGAAGTCGTTTGTAGCAATATAGCCAAATTGCCCCCTTTTGGCCCCGCCCCTAAGCCCCCTGGGGAGTCAGCCCCACCATTTGTACAATTTTTAATCACCACCACCTAGGGATGCTTCCAGTAAAATATGGTTGATACCCACTTCTTAGTTCCAGAGAAGAAGTCGCTTAAAGCAATATGGGAAAAATGACCCCTTTTGGCCTGGCCCCTCAGCCCCCTGGGGGGTCAGCCCCACCATTTGTACAATTTTGAATCCCCACCACCTAGGGATGCTTCCAGTCAAATTAAGTTTAATTCCAACCAGTGGTTAAGAAGAAGAAGTCGTTTAAACAAATTGTTGACGGACGGACGGACGGATAGACGGACGGATGACGGACGCCACGGTATGGCATAAAAATGTTCTCGTGATTTCTTTAAAGTTTATGGCCCAGCAATGAAGATTCATATTCAATCAACCAGTTTTTGGGTTTTTTAAAGAAATCTTACCTGGAACAAGGTCTATATAATTATTACCCAGGTAACTTTAATGTTAAAAACAAATCAAGACTTCTGATGTCTAATTAACGCATAAGATTATGTAGATGATATAATATGTTTCTATTTAATAATGCTATTGTCCCTTATTGCTCCATTAATCACCTGAGGGTTAAGCAAATAACCATATGAAAATGTCCGCATTTGCCACAAATGATGTAGTTTAAAAATACAACTTTGACTATGAACAGCATCTGTAAGAAACCAACTCCAAACTCTAAAATAAGACCACCACAATTTTGTTTAACTGAAGTATAAAATTTGAAATTTGATGAGGTCAGTATTTGTCTGGCTTGTTATCTATTTTTCTAAAATACACCAGGCACTTACCATTACCCTCAGAAGGCTGATCATTAAACAACTTCAGGATATATTTTCTCGACTAATGCTTTATGAAACGATAGATGTAAATCAAATAGGCTTAATTTGGAAAGAGAAATAAATGTTTTACCTGGACTCGTTCATTCCTACTATCTGCCACAATGATATATCCATCTCTGTCCACAGCAATACCAGCAGCTTGTGAGAAGAGGCCGAGTCTGTGGCCTGAGTGACCGATGGTGCGGAGGAGAGTACCATACAGATCAGTGATATACACACAGTTACAACCTGTGTACAGAAAACCATACATAACCTTAAGACAAACGTACAAACGTTTATAAACCAAGTTAGTGATGTTAACACTACTTCCTATTCAATCCAAAAATTCAATCAACTTAAAAAACTTCCCATGACATTATAAAGTCGTTAAATTGATTTCTTTAATTATGACACCATACTCTTATTTGACAATCATGAGACTGTTCAATCCAATTGGTTCATTAATACCTGGCAAATGCATGAAATCAAAACAATGAAAATGAATTCCCTTTCCATACACCAAATTGTTTTGAGATTAGCCACATACTTAAGTAGGATTCAGTTTCTTTTATTTTGTTTGACATTTTTTCTGCAAGAGAATATTTTTGCTTACCAGTAGGTTCTTATTGTAATACATGAAGAGTATAAATCTGTTAGAGGTGAAACACTGACTTACCAAGATCTGACACGTACAGTGTGTCGTTGTGAACAGTCAAAAATCTACATTTGCTCTCATAACCACAGTTAATGAGAGGTTGAAATGGGTAACACATCCCATAGAAACCATCAGGAGAGATGATGAAAATACGGGAGTTTCCTGGACAGATGTCCAATGTAATAAGATCCCCTTTAGATGTCAAAGCCAATCCTGGAAGTAAACAGAAATATTGCCAGATTACCAAATGGTCGGTATGGACAGTATCTATATTAGTGAAAGCATTAACAGCAGAAACTCTGGTAAATGCATGCAAATTTTTACCTAGTTTTCTCAATGACAGATAAAACTATTAAAGCCAAAGGCGAACCAACGATCTTAAGCCTGCTCCCACAAAAAAAATCAGAAGAGTGGTATAGTAACCAAAAGTTAAATCAAAACATGGTCATCACACAACAACCTAAACTAACCATCATTTACAAAATTGAACAAGGTAAGTTACAGTAATTTTATCTATATTTATTCAAATGAATATCAGAAAAGGGACACAACTCTGCCATTAAAATTGTCAAAATACACAAGAGATCTGCAAGAGGTAGCATATTGCTCCCCAAAAACTCTGAGCAACATTTAATTGTTATTCTAGACAATTCTATTTCCACTAACATGATAAATCACACCAAAAACAAACTAGAACTGTTAGCTTAAGGCCAACTAATACCGCTCGCTGCTATATAAACCAGAACTGTCAATCTAATTAAAATTATATCTTCACATCGCTCCCGTTTACTGATATGTCGCGTTGAAGATCTAACAACATCCCGTAGAGGGTCATGTTCAGGCGACCTTTGCATTAACCAATCAGATGAGAGCTTACGCATTTCTGTAAGTGATGATGTAATGATTTCGGAACACACTTGCTATGGTAAAAGACCGAGAGGTGTCAAATGAGCATCGAAAATGGCGGCCCCCATGACACCACGCCGTGTCTATCTACAAGACAACGTTTGTACAATTTGTGGATTTTGCTTTGAAATAAGAGAGACTTCCTCTTCTGGTGATGTTGTCGTTAAAAAGTTTAACAACCTGAAACTAAAATTAACCAATGACAGGCTTCGCAATATTCAAACTATCACTGGACCAGACGAAAAAGTTGATTTTGGGCTACGAGGTGTCTGCATTAAATGCTACACGTCCTGCTTTCTGATTGGTTGAATGAAAGAGTTATGTCGTGTTTTGATTGGCTTGTTATAAATGCGATAATGCATTCATGTTGACCTCTGACGTGACCCTCTATGGGATGTTGTTAGATCTTCAACGCGACATATCAGTATACGGGAGCGATGTGAAGATATAATTTTAATTAGATTGCAGAACTGTAAGCCAAAGGCCAACTAATACCCCTCGCTCCTATATAAACCAGAACTGTAAGCCAAAGGTCAACTAATACCCCTCGCTCCTATATAAACCAGAACTGTAAGCCAAAGGCCAACTAATACCCCTCGCTCCTATATAAACCAGAACTGTAAGCTAATTATGGTTACTAAGGCAAAGCATTGCAAAGCAGTAGAGTCTCCCACCAGTAATGATTTCTTTATTGGCTAAGCTGTACACTGAGTTAAGTATACAGGTCATTCACATACTTCCTGATTACTCCCTCTCAATGCCAAAACATACTTGCAAACCAAATATTGTTAGCTCAGATGAACGAGTTTTGCTGAAATTGTCCTAGTAGTAAAGGAAGAGATGACAAGACAATAATTTTAAACACCATAACTCCTTAAAAAGGGTAAAAAAAGAAAAAAATACTACCCTGATGCACGACATCAGGGGGTTGCACAACATCAGGGGGTTATTACGATGTCAGTAAACTTTCATTGAAATTGGCCCAGTAGTTTAAGAGGCAGACAAAGGTTTTTTCAACAAAGGGCCATAACTCCTTTTCAATGGGTCAGAATGAGAAAGTACTATTTGGATGCACAATGCGAAGGGGCAGGTGCTATATCTGTAAACTTTATTTGAAATTAGCCCAGTAAATTAGAAGGAGTTAATTGTCAGGACAAGGATTTTTCAACAGAGGGCCATAACTCCATAAAAAAGGGGTTGGAAAATAATACCTGGAAGCACAACTTCAGGTGGTAGTTATCATATCTGGATAGTTTCATTGAAATCAATCCATAACTTTATAAGGAGCTGTCCAGACAAAAGTTTCGGGATTTTTTCAAGAAAGGGCCATAACTTCATTCAAAAGGGTCAGAATTAAACAAATAATACCTTGATGCACAACTTCAGATGGTAGTTATTATACCTGGAAAGTTTCATTGCATTCGATCCATAACTTTAAAAGGAATTATCCGGACAAAAGGTTTCAGGATTTTTCAACAAAAGGCTGTTACTTCGTGAAAAAGGTCCAGAATTGAAAAAACTAGATGCAACTCGAAGGGGGGGCCTACGTGAATACCCCCGCTTTGATTGATCAGGAATTAGTGGGAGTGAAGGGCATGTGGATTGGAAGAATCAAGTGAAGGGTTTATATGCTGCAAGTATTATACATGATAACGTAGTATATACATGTTCATGTAATTAGCACATGAATAGCATTAAGATGAGGGTGCATGTACCAACACATCAAGATTCATAACCGTAGGTGAAATAGTACGGGAGATATGCTCCGGAAACCTTTCTGACGACATTATGCAATTCAGAGGTCACAGTGACCTACATATGGTACGTGACACACCGCCTTGCATGCATGTGCCAACAAACCAAGATTCATTACCATAAGTGAAATAGTACGGGAGATATGCTCCAGAAACCTTTTTGGATGGACGGATGGACAGACTGACTGACAGATAAGCTTATTCCAGTATACCCTCCCAAACTTCATTGCGGGGGGGGGTATAATATGGTTATTTCTCTCCTATAAAACCAATAATACTGAGCTTCATTGAATCTCTTGTTCTGAAGACAAAACCAAACCAAATTTAGTTTTTCTTCTGCCTTTGTTCAATCTACATACCAAGTCTATGATTAGTAAGATCAGTTGTTCTAACAGTAGAACACAGACTCTCCTTATTCCCTAAGAAAACACACCCACACCAAATCAAGCTTTGTGTTATTATTTGTTCTGAAGTAGTGAAACAATATACCAAATTTGAACTTTGTGCAATCATTTGATCTAGAGTAAGCATCCAGACAGGTCAGGTGAAATTCTTTCTTAAATAAAAATGATCTTGGAACTTCAGTTGACCATGCCTTAAATTTTAACGGCTTATACCTCTTCACTAAGGAAATCCAAATTCCAAGTTTGAGCTTTGTGTGAGGAAGGAGGGATGAAATCAATTGGATGCATTCAACTACCTAATTTATATGTACCATAGGGCATGTTGAACTTCTTTGCTCCAAGTCTACACAGGTACCTGCCAGTGGAAGTAAACTTATGGATACAGACATCATCCTTCACAAATATCTTACCCTCCGCATTGACCACAATGGCGGAGGGACGTGTAAAAGGTGGTACTATCTGTAAAATTAAAAAAAATTACATGATTTGGTAGAAATCATCACATTATTAATTAATGACTTATTTCAAGTATGCTTTAAACAGTCTTTAAAATTAGGGCTGTACAATTCGCTGACATAGTGCATAACACTTCTGTTTTCTGCCAAAATAAATGACTATTAGTTATCAAGTTAGACAAAAAAAATAATCAACCTAGGGTACATTCGCGTATCCATTTGAACCTGTAAAGAAAACAACAGGCAAAGATCTGAACCAAGGCTTTTTATTCTCCGAAACTGCATTTTTAGCTCTGCTTATGGAATGGTCCAAGTGCGTTCGTTTATTGTGGAAAATTTCTGCTCCACACATACCGTTTCAACAGGGATACGCGAATGAAGCCCTGAATTACCCAATGACGACATGTCCAATGAAGAATTTGAACAATACATTAAGGAATCCCTGTCCAAATGCAGGCAAATCACTGAAGAATTCCTGTTGTTTTTCATATACAGAAACCTCCCCTTAATTTGGGTTTGGATACAACTACAGTAAAATTTTCCATGGTATATATATATATATATATTTTCCAGAAATTATCTATGTAAGATTTGTTCGTAAGTAAGTTTCCAATTTAGGCAGTGGTATATGAGAATCCTTCAATTGTTTTCTTTCCATCTTAACTTTGTTTTTAAGAAATCTTCACATAGAGGGAGTGGGAACAGTATTGCTAAGCATGTTCTCTTATTTATGGTACATAGTTAAATGGCTCAGTTGATTACACCAATTATAATACAAGCCCTTTTCAAATAGGTCCAACACTGTAAATTCAGGAACCTATCACGTGCAGCCTACTATAAAACCTGACCAAGTTTAGACGAATAAAAACGTAAATTACATTGGACAAACCATTCTTGAGGGATAATATCCTACCACCCTGCAGGGTGGAAACACTTTGGTTTCAGAACAAAGGACAACTGTTGTGTATTCTTTTGACTATTTTACTGCATGCTACAATACTTAACTGATGAAAACAAGCACCGACATAGGTACCGAACCATTATATAAGGAAGCATACCATTTCGACCCTAATTGAAGATGCGCTCACTGTATTACCTGCGGCATATCTGATGATAAACTCACTTCTAAGATTTGTGTATCTGAGGATGTGCTTAATTTAATGTGTTATGCATGGCGTACTTGAAGATATGACAGTGTTTTTGAAGACGGACACACCATACCATCTATGGTGTTGACTTTTAAAGACCTACTCAATGTATCCTCTATGATATATTTACAACTTACCGTATCACCTATGGTGTATTTGAAGATGCCCTCCTTATCAAAGACTTTGACCAAATGGTTTCCAGTGTCTGTCACTAGGATATTGCCTTCAAAATCTGTGGTCACTCCAATTGGAAAATGGAGACAACCTCCCGATCCTCTGCCCGGATGACCAAGCTTCACTTCAAGCTTTGCTGGAACTGTAGCTCCATCTTCATATTTTACAGATTAGAGACAAATAACAAATAGGTCATATAATGGTTTGTTTCCTTTTTTTATCGGTTTAATCAAACTTGCAAAATCAATGCCAATTGTAAAATTAGGGGGTTTCAGTATAATATCTCTGACCTATGCAAGCAACAGCTTGTTTTTTTGTTTGAAGTAAATATTGAAAAAATATAAGAAAAAGGTGCAACATCTAATTTCTTTAGGCCAAAAAAAAGTATGTGTTTCCAGTTTCCCTACCGACCCTAGATTTTTTGTGCCTACCTTTGGCATTTAGTTACAAGGGGCCTGCATGAATTGCTCACTTGCTATTAATTTTACACTTGAAATCTAAAAAGGACCCCTGTGACCTTGCAAATGCATGAAGGTCATTCATTTGAACAAACTTGGTAGCCATTCATCCAATCATGTTAATGGCCAAATATCAACATCCTAAGCATCTTGGTTATTCAGAAGAAGTTCTTGAAATGTTTTAAACATCCTTGACCCCTGTAACATTGAACATAGGTTAAGGTCATTCATTCAAACAAACTTGTTAGTCCAACATCCCAGAATGTTACTGGCCAAATATCATCACACTAGGCCTCTTGGTTACTCAGACAAAAATGTTTAAAGGTTTTATACATATTTGACCCCTATGACCTTGAATATAAGTAAAGGTCATTCATTCAAACAAACTTGGTAGTCATTCATTCCAGCAAGTTACTTGCAAATATAATTGCCCTAGGCCTCTTGGTTATTCAGGAGAAGTTGTTTAAAGGATTTAAACATATTTATCCCTGTGACCTTAAATATAAGTCAAGGTCATTCATTTGAACAAACTTGGTTGCCCTTCATCCAAGCATGCTAATGGCAAAATATTATCATTATAGGCCTCTAGGTTATTCAGAAGATGTCCTTAAAAGATTTTAAACATATTAAACCCCTGTGTCCTTGAATACAGGTCAAGGTCATTTTATTTTTTTAAAATTGGTAGCCCTTTATCCTTGAATGCTACTGGCCAGATATAAACCCTGGGATTTTGGGTTATTCAGAAGTAGTTGATTTAAGATTTTAAAACATATTTGATCCCCGTGACCTTGAATATAAGTCAAGGTCATTTATTTGAACAGACTTAGTAGCCCTTCATCCGAGTATGTTACTGGCCAAATATCATCACCCCAGGCCTTTGGTTATTCAGGAGAAGTTGTTTAAAGGTTTTAAACATATTTATCCCTGTGACCTTAAAATATAAGTCAAGGTCATTCATTTGAACAAACTTGGTTGCCCTTCATCCAAGCATGCTAATGGCAAAATATTATCATTATAGGCCTCTAGGTTATTCAGAAGATGTCCTTAAAAGATTTTAAACATATTAAACCCCTGTGTCCTTGAATACAGGTCAAGGTCATTTTATTTTTTTTAAATTGGTAGCCCTTTATCCTTGAATGCTACTGGCCAGATATAAACCCTGGGATTTTGGGTTATTCAGAAGTAGTTGATTTAAGATTTTAAAACATTTGACCCCTGTGACCTTGAATATAAGTCAAGGTCATTTATTTGAACAAACTTAGTAGCCCTTCATCCGAGTATGTTACTGGCCAAATATCATCACCCCAGGCCTTTGGGTATTCAGGAGAAGTCGTTAAAAGATTTTAACATATTTGACCCCTGTGACCTTGAAAATGGATCAATGTCATTCATTTGAACAAACTTGGTAGTCCTTTATCTCATTATGCTACTGGCCAAATATCATTATCCTAGGCTTATTGGTTACTGAGAAGAAGTTGTTTAAAGTAAAAAGTTGTCGCCGGAAAGACGGACGGATGACAGACGCAGCACCTTCGGGCACGTGAGCTAATAAGCAGTGTTGAAGTCAGAACTCCTGCTCTTATAAGCATCGTAAAAATATATTTTCAAAAACAAAATTGCCTACCTATCGCACTTTTTTTTTTTTTAAAGCAGAAACAGGAAACGCACAATTTTTTCCCCAATTGTATTGCAATTGTAAGGTTTAAAAAAAAAAAAATGGCAGTATAAATACCTCGATTTATTTCATTCTTCTGAATGAACATTCTGATGGTTGGAATATGACTTGGTGACACTGTCCTTGGGACGATTTCACTTTCCTGGACAGTTTCAGGCTGAGTACACATCGTCAGTGTTGTAGTAGAAACAGTTGTTGGTAATGCATCCATGTTGCTGCTACTTGCCGTATCATTAGGCCTAGGGCTGCCATCTGATGTATGGGAAGGAAAGATAAAAGTCTGAGGCCATGTAATGAAATATTATCACATTATGGCATACTTCACACAAGCATTCCTATTTTTGCTTGGGGAAAAGATTAATAGAATAATTCACCCCCTGGAGCGAGATAGGTGAATTTCAACCTGAGGGGGAAGATTCCCAAGTTGCACGGGGGAAAGATTAATAGAATAATTCACCCCATTGGGAGTGAGATAGGGGAATTTCAACCTGAGGGTAAGATTCTCAAGTTGCACGGGGAAAAGATTAATAGAATAATTCACCCCCTTTGGAGCGAGATAGGTGAATTTCAACCTGAGGGGGAAGATTCTCAAGTTGCAAAGTGTTTGGCACCTGACATCTGACCTCAAAGGGCATTAGGGGTGAATGATTCTTTTCTCTTACCCTGTTGAACCTATCATAAACATCATGCGACATTAACGTAGCAGGCACAACGCATTGTTAACTATGGATGGAACAGGTAACCGAGTACCTGGTTGCAGTGCGGTTACGAGCACTATCCGGTTAGCAAATCCACGTAACCGAAAATCGTCCCAAAATGAAGGTCAGTATTTATTGACTTCTCGGGCATAATGTTGCTCCTTACTGCTGATTGACAGACCTTGAAAACACTCATGATCAGTATGCTTGCTTTACTATGGAGTACATGTAAACAATAAACTTTGAATATAAATATAATATCGACTGTTATTCTGTTGAACAATGTAACCCATCATTCACCGGCAGCTATCGTTAAGAGTTCCAACCAATAGTTTAGTGCAGAAACACGTGCACATAGTGTTGACGCCCACGACACCACGTTATGTCTATCTACAAGACAACGTTTGTACAATTTGTGGATTTTGCTTTGAAATAAGAGAGACTTCCTCTTCTGGTGATGTTGTCGTTAAAAAGTTTAACAACCTGGACTTTGGGCTACGAGGTGTCTGCATTAAATGCTACAGGTCCTGCTTTCTGATTGGTTGAATGAAAGAGTTATGTCGTGTTTTGATTGGCTTGTTATAAATGCGATAATGCATTCATGTTGACCTCTGACGTGACCCTCTATGGGATGTTGTTAGATCTTCAACGCGACATATCAGTAAACGGGAGCGATGTGAAGATATAATTTTAATTATATTGCACTAAGGCAGGACAAGTGTATCTCACACGGGGAAGTGTGGATACGCCTGTCCAGGGTAAGAGGAAAGTGTATCTCACACGGGGAAGTGTGGATACGCCTGTCCAGGGTAAGAGAAAAGTGTATCTCACACAGGGAAGTGTGGATACGCCTGTACAGGGTAAGAGGAAAACCTGTCTTTGCCTATCTAAGGAGAGACAGCTTACCTTTGTCACCATCACGTCATTACTTGTAGCAGCATCAATGTCCACTTGATTATTTGGGCGGTGCAGAGTTCACCCGAGTGCATGCTATTTTTATGATAGGAAAGTGTGCGAGAAAAATAATCACTCCTCCGTAGACTGGTGTACGTGCATGTATAGACAGAAAAATCTTACCTGCGATTCATCTCACATCTGCAGCTTCAAGATCAAATTCATTTTAATATGTGAAATATCATTACTCAATATACACATTATGGATCTTTGTTGAAAGTATGTTACTCCACACCTTATGACTCATTGCAAGAAGATTTTAACTGGTTTTACAAATGTAACCTTTCACTCAAAATAGTAATATCCATGAAAACACATTATGATATGCAGATATTTCAAACACAATCTACCATGGGCACAATCCTTATGTTGGAAGTCAGGTACCACCTGATCAGACACAGGTTCAGTTATACCCTCCTCCCAAAGCAGGTCTTCCATCACAACCTAAAACATAACCAATAGCTCCATCTGTTCAGTTTCAAAACAATTTTCAACATTTTGTTAAAATTATTACTCGAATACTTGGTATATGTATAAATTGAATACAAACGAGAGAAAGGTTGGAAATATACTTCGGCTTTAAGTGTATTCAAGACAATAGCAGATAACAAACTTTTGTTTATTTTCAAATTCCATACCTGATCATCCTGTGCAAGCAAGATATCTTTTTCTGGATTGATGACCTGCACATCAGAGTAGTCAAGCTTTCCTGGATTAAAAAGTCTTGGTACATTTAAATTTGTAACAGTTTGTATTGTGTGTGTGATCAGAACATACAATGTGCATTTCTGAAAAGATTTACATGATGAACCCCGATTGCTCTAAAAATTCTGTAAATTCTACAATATCTCTGCATTAAAGAATTAATACATGTACATTTTATTAATAAAATGCTCATAATTAACTTAATAAATATGGCCATGTGCAGCTGTCATCTACAGACTCATGTATCATGACTAGTTATAACCTAGTCCTACACATTATGACTGAACAAGATTCCTAACCTTGGGCTTCCATGGACAGACTTTCATTTGCTGTTTTCTGTTCAGAGAAGCTGTCTATTTCTGGAGTCCTAGCCTCCTCTTCTACTACCTCCTCCTCGCCATTCTTCCCTTCTTCCTCTTCTTCTTCTCCTTCTTCTTCTTCCTGTGTCAACTGATCAGAAGATTCCTTGCTACCATCTTTGGTTATGTTCATTAACAGCTCTGCTGCTACTTTGAACGTTGGTTTTGGTACGTTAGTCAGCATGTCATCCAAAGATTTTTTCCAGCGCTGACGATCTTCTGAGCTGACATATTGCACTTCTTGTTCAATCTCTTTGGGTGGTGGAGAAGATAACACATCAGGTTTTTTAACGTTTTCCTCAATTTTAGTGTTTTTACTTGGACTTTTACTGTGCAATATGGCTTGAACATTTTCACACTTGACAACAGAGGAATATGTCATAGTTTGATTAACATCCATTATTTTTTCCTGTTCATCTGAAATGACCGAATTGCTAGATCTCTCAGGAGATTTTTCGGTACATGTATTACCAAGATTCTTCAACTTTTTACCTGCAAGTTTAAGTTTTCTCTCTGGTAGATAATGTTCAGCCTTGGTTGCTATTCGACCAGTTATACATGCAGCCTTTGAGTTCTTCGACAGATTTTCTGATTTGTTTGCTGTATTAAATCTGTTTATACTGTCAGTTTCCTTAACTGTGGTTTCATCAACATTTTGATTGCTAAAGTCAGCCACCAAGGGACATTTTTCCTGGTATGACGAGATAACCTTGCCAAGATTCAGGAGCTCTTCTTCTTCCATGTTCTGGACAAAATCCAGGCAGTCGATGTCATCATCTACATCTAAGTCGACAATATTGTTGTTGAGTACCAAACTGGAATAAATTCAGACAGAAAAAGACACACAAGTTCAATATTAGGTAAAAAAAATATTGTGTTTCCTGTTTCTGCTTGAAAGAAAAAAGGGTCGGTAGGTAGGCAAATTCTTTTTTTTTTTTTTTTTTTTTTTTTTTTTTTTTTTTTTAATATTTCTAATGCTTATTTAGAGCTTATCACTAAATGCCAATAAAAACTTAAGTGTAGGCACAAAAATCTAGGGTCGGTAGGGAAACCAGAAACACACATATTTTACTTTTTTTGCCTTATGAAATCGTTTAGTTACTCATTTGATAAGCTCAAATTAACCAATTTACAGAGAAAACATGCTCGGTTCTGTCCACATTGAAAGTCCCTCACATTCTGCTTTTGGATACCAATGTCCTTGTCTACAAGTACAAGATGTATGCCTCTTTTGGGGAACAGATATGTGCATGATTTACTTATCATTTCAATGCAAAGTACAATTTGTAAAATCATGGTTCACGTATAGAGACTTTCTGGACAATCTTTTGACAAGATATTTCAATGCACAAAATAAAAGATAACCTGTTACCTGGTAAAATAAGTTTTTGTCAATAATTTCAGCTTGAAATTTCACCCAGGTAAAACAATAAATTAGAAATCTAATATACCGGCTGGTATCAACACAGGCTTGGATAATCTAATTCTGTGGTTCACCTAGCTAAATAGGTTATTTTGTTCAATAAGAACTTGATCTGTACTGTATGTCCTGTCCTGTACAATGTACTTATTTGAAAATATACCAAATAGTATGTATTCAAATTATCTTCTACACATGAAAGAGCAATAATTAAGGTATACAAATACAACATATACCAATCTTCCTTTCTAAGTCGAGTCAGTGTTAAATTATTTTAAAAAAGAACCGAGCAATTTTAATAAAAAGATCCTAAACTTCATTCCCATTACAACTGCTGAAACACTGCTGCTTCATCTTCTAGATACAATTTATGTTATAACTTGTTATGTATGAAATTGAAATACTGAAAGAAAATCCGACAAGAGGCACCATTTCATATTTTTCTTAATGCCTGGATGTATAAACACATATAGTTAGTCCATTCAACAAATGAAAGGGTAAAGCTCGGTCTTTGACATTTAGTTTTTTACTTTTCCAGAAAATATGTTTCAACCCCTTACATATAACACCAGTGATTTGACCAGCCGATTATCTAATCATGGAGGGCTAAAAATGTACCATGCAGGGATCAATCTAGACTTGATTCACTACCGTTTATGGGTAGTTTCCCCTATAGAAGATAATTCCCATATTATTAAAATTTCCCCCTGTGTGCTTCAAATTTCCCTATTTCAACAAGAAAATACCTGTTTTTTTCTACAAAATATTTCCCCTATACATGTTTTCTTTAAAGTTCAACAGTTAAAATGCATATTACTGCATATGTTCATTTTCTCCATTTAATCTACCTGGTAAACACAAATTCTACAATTTTAAGCTTGAAATTGTTTAAAAATTGAAATATATACTGCACACATGTATGTCCAACAAAACACTAATCTTTTACCTTGATGACGCTAGAGCCTTGTATCAAAATTTTAATTTTCCACAAATCTGAAAAAGGGTAATTTTCCCTAAAACCTAGATTGATCCCTGCCATGGTACATTCTTTATGACAATGAACTGTTGTAGTGATACCTAAATACTTCTATTAAGCGCTTGGCATGCACTTCATTATTGTTAACTGAAGGACCCGGAGTGTATCTCAGAAAGCTTTCAACTTCAGTGCTCAAACTTCGTAGGGAATCAATGTCACAAGTCACAGAGTCCCTATACATGTCCAGGTATTCCGACTTGGAGTTAAACACTTCTTCCATTTGCTCCAGAGCCCTCTTCTCAAATGCCACCAACTGTTCTTGGAAACTGTGGATGGTATGTATAATCTTTGATCTTGTGTTGTCACGGCGCATCATCAACAAAATGGAGATGGCTCGAAGTCTGCGGAGCATGCTCTCCAACTTAGGTACAAGTTTGCTTGCATCTAGTAATCCACAAAGCAGCTTGGTGCGTGTGTTCTCTTCCATGCTTTTTCAGTGTATCTACAATTATAATCACCAGTGTATATCATGTTATGCAAATTATTAAGAACCAAGTGATATTAATATTTATATTGATCCATTAACAAAATAACCAGTAGTAAAACTAGGGCTCCAGCTGTCGGCCTGGAGGAGAACCAACGTCCTGGTTGTTGGTCGAAAGTTGGTGGTAATAGGAATCAGAGATGGATACCTAACGGTATTCAGTAAAATTCCATCACGGAAGATAAATACAAAGGATATATAAGACGGAGCATCAACATCTAGATTCCATGTTTTTATTATAGTTTACATGTTTCAGCTAGCTAGGTTAGCCGTCATCAGAACAGACGACAACTAACCTAGCTAACCGAAACATATAAACTGTAAATAAAAATCGGAATCTAGATGTTGATGCTCCATATTATATATCCTTTGAAAATTACCAGTAGAAATATTTACATGTGTAGCGAAACTGGACGGGGTCAATCGCCAGCGTCCAGCTGGTAGCTCAACTGATAGAGTGACGGTCTAGATTTCAGAGGGGTCCCAGGTTCGAATCTCGATCTCATCATCCATTTTCTCTTTCTCCTGAACATTATAATTTTTTTCTAGCACTGGTTGCATGTTATCTTGATTTGCAAGGGGGATACCTGAACCTGGGATGTGTGTTTTTAGAAACGGATGGGAGAAAGTAGAAGAACTGGACTGGTTCGATCCAGGTAGCACAATTGGTCGAGCATCTGTCTAAGGTTTGGAGGGTCCCAGGTTTGAATTCTGGTTAGATCTTTCCATACATTTTCTCTCTCCTGTTACATGTATAGGACCTTAAGCTTGTGTAGGAATAAAACAACAGAAGAATTAAAATTAATTAACAAGTAATGAAAGGACACCAATTACCTTCTGGAGTTGCTTGAAGAATAGCTGGCGGAACCAGGCAACATGACAGTCATGCGACTTTGTCAAGCTGACAAGGATTTGTGGTGGAACAGGAGAAAGAACAAGAGTATCGCGGGGCGGAACAATATACGCCCGTCCAATGCCGTCTAGTGTTATATATATACTTTCTTACATTGAAATAGGATCTGCATCATTCTAAGAGTGGTTAGCTGACATGCTATAATGCTACAACACTCACCTTTCACAACTAGGTTAATGTTTAATTTTTTAACTTAAATGTAAAAAGTCATGGGAAAACCTATCTCTGGATTTTCTAGTTTTCTGTTACATTACACTTGAGAACCCCTCTGTGCTATTTATAACTTTAAGGGAGACACAACTCCATATCATGATTATAATGTACGATTATAAAATAAACAAAGGGCAATAACTTTTGCAAAAATTGTTGAATCAAAATTCTTTTCAGGGAAACAAAAAATCAAATACTGAAATGAACAAAGGGTAATAATTTTTGCAAAAATTGTCGAATCAAAATTCTTTTAAGGGAGACACAACTTCATATCATGGTTATAATGTATACTAAGTTTTAAAGAAATCGGTTGAAAAATGTAGGAGATTGCCGGACAAACAAAAGTTTACGCAGACAGACAACGCCATACCATAATACTCGCAGCAATTTTGACGGCCGCAAAAAAAAAAAATGTAATGGCCAGACATAGGTTCGAACCTCAGACCCTCCAAACTCTAGACGGACGCTCAATCAATTGAGCTATCTGGGCGCCGACGATCGATCCAGTCCCGCTACATTCATCCCTCCTTTTCCTAAGTCTTCGCCCCCGAAGACAACACTATTTACAACTCAGCTTCGGATATCCCCTTAAAAAGCATTAACCCCAGTGCCTGAAACAAGGGTTGGCAAGCTCACCAATTTTGAAACAGGAGAAAAAGAAATGAAACAACCAGACTGAGGTTCGAACCCAGGACACTCCAAACTCTAGACCGACGCTCTACCAATTGAGCTATCTAGTCGCCGTCAATCGACCCAGTCCAGTTCTGTTACAGTGGCATGTAAAAATTACATCTAAATTTTCATCTTTCTTATAATGTGCATGTGTTTCTATTGTTTCCTAATTAATAGACTATAGCCAGGATCGAAAGTAATATAAGTAGAATATAGCTACCTTTCTACAAGTGTTTGACCTCCCATTGCAGACACTAGCATTTCATTACCCAAAATCTGATGAGATCAACATATACAGCTAGTTTCCTAGCAGCGCTAACGATGCGCAAAGGTGAGGGCACAGAGACAGGTAGCACATGAGAACTCAGAGTTCAATTCAAATCAATATTCCATTTTAAACTCGTCTCATGGACAACTGATACTCTTAATTAAACTATTAAATCAGCTGGTTAATGTTACACTAACAGTATAGCTATGTGATCACATGACCTCAGACACTTAGCAATTACATGATGTCAGTGCCTTTGTCCACCGACTGCTAGTCACAACTATAGTTGCGCTGTATGTCTGTGGCCACCACTGCTAGTCACAACTATAGCTGCATATTCTATAAAATGGTATTTTATATGGTCAACAGCTAATCATGTTGATTAAAATTTAATCAAACATATCAAATAACCAATTTCCATTGGTATTAATATGTTGTAATATTAACACAAGTATTATTTTTGCAATATTTTTACTAAATTTGTGACTTATGAAGTTATATCTAAATTTGAACTGCAGCAAAAATTAAATTTTCCTAATTAATTCAGCACTTATTGGTTCCTTATGTTATTTAATGTAGCACTCTAAGGTTGAGGTCAGCGCATGCCAAAACATGCAGTGTTGGTTAGTTTAGAGAAGAAAAGGCTGCGATTCCAGCCAATCACATCACAGGTCTCGGCATGCGCTCACCTCAACCTCATGAACATAAACAATAGGCCCAGAGGGCCTGTATCACTCACCTGAATAATAAAGCAACCATGGGAAATTATTCTTATTACATAAAATCCCTCAAATGGTACAGAAGAACAAAGATTTTAAATATTCAAACCTCTAATTTCCCTATTGGGCCCCCCAACTCTCAGCCCCCAGGGGGTCCAAACCCACCGTTTAAACAAAATTTAGTCCCCTTTGTCCAAGGATGCTTCAGACAAAATTGGGATGAAATCCCTTAATCTCTATCGTAGCAGAAGAATTTCAAAGGTTTTTACCTCTATTTCCCCTATTAGACTCTACCTCTCTGCCCCCAAGGGGGGCCACACCCACGTTTTTAACAAAAATTGACTCCCCTTGGTGTCTAAGGATGCTCCAGATCGAATTAGGATTAAATCCCTTAATCCCTACAGTAGAAGAAGATTTTAAAGATTTTTACCTCTATTTTCCTTATTGGGACCTGCAACTCTGGCCCCAAGGAGTCCACACTCACCGTTTATACAAAATTGAGTCCCCTTGGCCTAAGGATGCTCTAGCCCAAATTAGGATAAAATCCCTTTGGTAGAAAAAGCATTTTAAAGGTTTACCTCTATTTCCCCTATTCGGCCCACTCCTCTGCCCCCAGGGGGGCGTCACCCACCGTTTATACAAAATTGAGTCCCCTTGGCCTAAGGATGCTCCAGATTAAATTTAGTACAAATCTACTGAACCGTTCAGGACAGTAGTGTTCTTATGAAAAGTTGACGGATGCTAGCTGCCCCATGGCATATGCTCAGCTAAAGGAAGTGGCATGATGACTGCAAAAAAAAATTGAAACTCTGAAATGGCATGTAAGTAGTTCATGTCCGCGAAAGGAGAAGTTATAGGAGGGGGTCGCACGACTTTTTGACATCGCAAGCTTCCCACCCTTCTCGTATTGGGGGGTGTCATTTTTACCGAAAGTCAATCTCAACAGCTAAAACATGTAAAATTACTCTGAACACCTTAGTTTAGGTCCGTAACGTCCCTGTGCCTGTGTCTTATGGTTGTTATATATCGTAGCCAGAGTTTCCTCCGACACTAGATTGAAGACATTTTGACAATATAGGCCTATGTCTGGTGTGGGCGAAATGTCTAAAGTCTGGTGTCTGGTCTTCCGCAACACTGTTAGATGTTTACACGGCGAGATACTTTTGACAGGCGTCTCAGAAGGCAAAAATCATATCCAATAGAAAAAAAAGGCCGACCAGCGGCCTCTTAGACTTAGGGCCAGAAGAAACTCGTGCTATTAGTCCGTGCTGGAAAATGTTATAACAAATGTTTATACAATAAAATAATGAAAGTGAAAAGTTTAACTTACATCTGTAATTTGTCGTTGTTGATAAAGCTAGATCTACATTTCCAATATTTGCTATTGTCACTTGCTGTTTCTTTTTCATCCGTGCAGTAAATATAGACCAGTCCGTTAATTTGTCATGGGGATGTCTGTAGGAGACATCATTTTTATTCCAATCAGACTGAGCGTGTATTAAGTAGTTCACATTGTTATTTTATACACAACTAATGACATTTCAACTTCACAGTCTTTTGCTTAAATTCAAAACATTTTAAATCAAAGACGAATTAGTTAAGAGACCCAGATCCCCCATCTAAATATGAACTCGCCCAATCAGTTTTAACGAAAATCCATGTTTTCATTGGCTAAAACTCCTGAGATAAACACTTTTTATCGTCGTACCTAATTTTGTGTCAACAATAATTGATAGTAAGACACAATCAAAAATATTATTATGACTTTTCTTTTAGTTCTAATGAGATAGGAAAATATACAATAAATATTGACAAGTCCGAGTCTGTCAACAGGCCAGGGCAGGAAGTGTCGATGGTGGTAAAATATAAATGTTCTGATACTTCTGACGAGAGCATCCACGGTAAGCCTGTAGAGTTCATTGTTTGGTCGTTTGTTTCGGATAATGTGATCTAGGCTCTTTTTGAAAAGTAAAATATCAATTTTCCTTTTGTTACAGTAACCGAACGGTGGAAGGGAGGTAAATCTCCCCATCGTACAAATTTACACACTGTTGCTATGACTTATGGGCTACTGTACTGTAACCACAGGGGCACGCAACTAGTTACATTACAATTAATGAGTCAGAGAAATATATGGAGATATCTATGTGTCATCTAAAATATCTTCGTCAATTGATACAACCATGCACGGACTTAGATGTCTACAACCCACCACATTATTTTTTCTGAAATAAACCCCTACGTTGGAGGATCTGTTTATGTGCTGTTATGCCTACTCAGTAGGCCTACCGATTTTTGTGACCTTTTGCGCACCGCCACAAGTTTGTTTACATTATGAGTTTTTGGGTGTAGGAACTTGATATCACCAATGCCATGGTGTAAATATAATCTAACTTTATTAAAGGGTTCGTGAGATATCTTGTAGATATACACAAGCTTTTTACTTCAAAAGTGGTAACGTGTGACCTTTGACCCTTTAATCTTGACCATAATATCACCATACTATGGTGTAGGCCTAAATATAAAATGAATTTGTTGAAGGGTTTGTGAGCTATGTGATTTTCCTTTCCTTCATAATATATTGGTTTGACTTTTTCCCCTGGCTTGACATAATCTGTGCACTTCTTCCCATCTCTAGTTTCCGCTGCCTTTCACGTTTGATGCTCCGTCCATTTGCCGTCACTAAATCGGTACTGTAGTCTACCTAGCGAATTCGTTTCTTATTTCTTGACATTTTTTTCATATTTGGATGCCATATACATTCCCTAGGTAAATTAGTTTTATTTTCGAGTAATACATTGATCCAATACTTAATTCCACCGTTCGGCATTTCTTATTATGTCTAGTTCATTGGTGAAAACTACAGGGACCTCAGAATTTGTTACAGCTATATTTGGAACTAGAGTAAGGTGTTCAGGGTAATTTTACATGTTTTAGGGGTTTAGATCGACTTTCGGTAAAAATGACACCCAGTCTGTGGTGAAAACCAGGTCGAGTGTTCTTGGCTCATTGATAGCCCGGCGCGTATACTTGTTGGCCTTTCAAATATGTATTTTAATAACTCACCAGATGGTATCACACTACTACTAATTTGTATGATATTAATACAGTTAAGACGCCGAAAAAGGAGATGACGCAAAACCACAGACCGGAAGTACAGAGTTATAACTCCAATATGGTGACAAATGAAATAGATTGTATGGATCGAGAGCTGCTGTCTCTGAAGGAAACCATGAATAAGCAAAGTGGTACGTAGGATTATTGCATACAAAAATTTAAAGCTGTCCGTATAATTTACAAAATATTTAAATCTACGTTATTTATTGTTCATCTTTTTTCATTTGTACAATTATTTGTTATGAAACATTTGTAACGCTCACTCCTGGGATAGGAGGCGTCGTGTTTGTCCTGGGATGGAACTGTGGTGCGATAGAGAACAGACACAAGAAATAACGTTCACATATTTATTAACTCCAGCATATAAAGTTCACAGTAATCCATACACGGTTCACAACACGTTCATTTATCTCCCGTAATCCATACGTTTCCTGTATAGTCCTTTCACACAACATCCACTTTCAGTCTCCATTCTAATGCACTAAAACTCTAAACTAGCAAAACTACATGTATACTACCCCTACGTGCTTTCCTTTATATTTATAGGTGCTAAAATTAGCTAACGCGACCATTGGTCAACGTGGTGATGAGGTGATGCTGTGCACGTGGACATTATTGATTTATTCTAAGCCTTGACCAGTACTTTTAGAAGTTACCTTACTTATCCACGGCAGTACATTGGCCTCTTCTATATTTAGCGCTTACCAAATAAATATCAATACTACTACTGTCCATATTCTACGGGTCCTCAGCAGCATTGCAATGAACCAAAAACTAACGTCTGTACAATTCGCATGCACATCAGTGTGTTCATTTGTGTGAAAATAGAGTCATACTATCATTTTGATATTCGGAGCAAGCCCGTGGTTATCGAATCATCGGGGGGG